ATATTTTTTACTTGAGCTGAAGATGAAGACAAGAGTCACGACATCAAAGCACACGAAACATACAATGGACAATACAATCACAATTCGCAAACAGTGGCCAACATTCACAGAGCCCGATTTTTGGAGTGGCTATTTCATTTGGTTGCCAGGTTATGAGTTCGCTTCAAAGAAAATGCAATAACCTGGCCAATTGATTTTTGATTATGTTGCAAAGAACGGCAGTCGCTTCAGAAGCGGTGGCAGCAGCAGTGGCAGCCACAACAGTCATAACTGCAGGCATAACCAGCTAAAATTGTCAATAAAAACAAGCCAAATGCTCTGGATGACTTTTCGCTCCTTCTTTCGCTCACTTTACACTTGCCAATCCAATGTTTATTAATAAAAAGAGAGAGCACAGATAGCACAGAGAGACAGAGAGAGAGAGAGAGAGAGAGAGAGAGAAAAAAGTGTGGGGGAAGGGGGAGGAGTGTAGAGTGGAGCAGCAGTTATCTGTTAGCTGTCCTTCATGGCAATCTGTCCAGTTTCAGGCATAATAAATAATATTTGCATTGCAGCTAATCGAATTTTGATTGCAATATTCTGTCTCTTTGTTTAATGCATAGTGATTTTCTGGCTTTTAGTGCATGGTCTGCATCAATTGTGATTGATATTTTTGAAATTGACTTTTCAAGTGGGCCTCCCCCTTCTCGTTTTTTGGCCAGAGTACAGTTCTATGTAGGGAGAGAGACAACAGATAGCACTTGATTCTCTGCAAATATGCATATGCAAATCTGTTCGAACCGAATGGTGACTGTTCTGCGAGTGGCAATAACTATTTGAAAAGTCCAGCTATGCTGCTATACGACAGCTGTTTATTGGCCATAATGTGCAATTAATGTTGCATAACGATCCGTTGAGATACCATCAGCACGCTGAGAGTCAACAATTTCACAGGCCAGCAGGGGATTTGCCATATGACAGACCATTATAAATGGTTCGCAGTCATAGGCACTAACAGGTTCACGTTCATAATAAAAATGCCGTTGGGTCTTTGACACCACAAATCCCAACCAACCCCCGCCAACCCGTACCCTTAGCAAGCAGTGCTTACACCCCGCCAGCAGCAGTCAGCAGTCATAAAATCAAAGCAAATCACTTGTTATCCCATTTAGCTCAGTTTCAGCTACAATTCCCCGCCTGTGGCTGCATGTCATTTGGCTGCTACTTAATTTCTGACTTCTGCCTTGCAACCAACCCCCTGAAATCGCACTGGGTGCCTGGGTGCCTGGGTGCGCCGGATGAGCTCATTGTGGCTGCTGCTTCGGCTGGTTGTTTGCTGTTGCTAATATTTGTGGCCTGCCGCAAGAAATTGCTTTTTCATGAACTTGACTCATTTATTATTTGCAACAGTTTCCTGAGCCATTCCGCCAGCCTTTTGGTTTTTTGACTCCTGCTTCTTGTTGATGTTTTTGTTGTTATTGTTCTCACACCTTTTGAATTGTTGTTGTTCTTATTGTTGTTGTTCACTGGCTGTCTGCCTGTCTGCCTGCCTGCCCTTTTGTGCTGGTGGTGTCTTTTTTTTTTTTTGCTTTGGTGTCAGTCGCAAGTGAAAATTAAAAGTCCAAACATGAAAATGCTTTTGTTCGCAGCATATGGCTGAAATTGGGAAACTGGTTTTTGCTGTTGCTCTCTGCTTTGATTACGTTCTGCTCCATTTGCGCCCTGGCCTGAGAAGTGGCGCAATGGTGGAGTGTGTCATAAATTGAAGTTTCTGCAGGTATCTAGATGATAAGTACGATTTGTTCTTGGAATGCAATTCATTTTCAAAGTTCATGAATCTCTGACAAGCAAAATACTATTAAATTTGCCTGTATTCGTTGTAGTTGGTCTACAAGCAAAGCATATTTATGAATTCATTTTATTTGCTATTAAGGAAATCATTCTCCAAAAGCAAATTTATTTCTTTGATATTGAATGAAATCATTTGAATTATGCATTTACTCGTTTCTGACTTCTCTATTTCTGACTACATTTATTCCTTTATTTAGAAAAGAAGTCATCAATTTTGAAGATTTTATGCATTTTCCATACTTTTTTGCATATTAAATTCTATGCACTTCCAATTTGCAATACAATTTTTAAGAGCAATGTAAATAACTTTGCTATTGAATACAATTATTGAAATTATTTGACTTCTAACTTCGTTAATTTGCAGCCTTACTTTAAAAAAATGTTTTATATTCCCACACACGCTTTTCAAATCAACTTTTATAGACTTTCTATTTAGCTGGTTTATGGCTAAATTTGTGCTTACATCAAAGTCCAATAAATCAAATCTTGTATTTATTGGAAGCCGTGCCCCTCAGCCACTCAGCGGCTGATAATTTATGCATGAGGGTGAAGCTTAAAAAATTACAGTCAAAACACAATTTAACACGGGCACAAGGAGCGTCAAAAACAACAAACAGAGACAGAGAGAGAGAGAGAGAGAGAGAGAATGGAAGAGAGAGTGAGAGAGATTTATAAATATAACAACAAGCACCCCACACACACCCTAAACATATATGTGTGTATCATTTTTGGGTGGTGTGCATAAAAAATAAATGTTTTGTTTAACCGACATTTTAACGCCTATTTGCGTGCCTTGCACGTCATGCACGTTACGCCAATTTAATGCTCTGCCCTGGCGCCTTCTGCTCGGCAATGACTTTGCCTTTTTCTTCCAAGAAGAAGAAGAAGTAGAAACAGAAGCAGAAGCAGCAACAGCAGCAGTAGCTTTATAAATAAATGAAGGAAAGCAAAACATAAAAAGCGGGCGCCAAATACATGCGAATGTGGCAAGCAAAATAAAGAAGCGCCCAAAAATTTAATTGTCATAAACAAAACAACAACAGAACCAGAGAGAGAGTGAGAGAGAGAGAGAGAGAGACAGCGTGTGCAAGGGAGAAAGAAATATAGACGCTGTAGCCAGACAGCCAGACAGTCAGACATTATCTTAAATTATTAAATTAAAAGTAAATGAATAGAGCGACGCATAAGCACGTAAGAAGCATAAACAAGTCAAGGTCGCTCTGCCGACGCAATCACCGTCATCGTCGTCGTCGTCGTCGTCGCAGTCGACGTCAATGTGGCAACACCCTCACTGTCCACAAACACCCCTTACCCCTTAGCCTTGCCAGCATGTGGCACATTAGCGTCCCTGGTGTAACATTGCGCGGATACTTAGTGAACGCTGTCGATCCTGCTTCGTCCTGCAATAGTTCTCTGTCTCTGCTGCTGTTGCTGCTGCTGCTACTGCTGCTGCTGTCTCTGCCACTGATTGTTTCTCTCTGTGTTAGTGTGTGTGTGTTGTCTGTCTGCCTGCTGGCCGACATATGACAAATTCGCTGGGGACCATCAGCGTAACAAGCAAAGTTACTTTGCACAAAAGTTGCCATTTTTCTTTTGCCTGCTTCGCATTTTGGCTGACTGTTTCTGTTTGTGTTTGTGTTTGTGCTTCTTGGCCATTAGTTGTGGCTCAGGCTCAGACAGTCGACAGCGCAACTGTGGTGACAGCTCAAGATGGTCGCAGCACGGATGCCAGCATTTATAAATACGCGACACGGCGCAACGATATCGGTTAAGTTGTCAACCCGCCGCGTGACGTGGATGCGGATTCGAATGCGGCTGAGAATTGTGTCGCTGCCTTTAGTTATGCACGCCGGAAAAATCGTTTCCATGTCACAAGTCATTCATTTGCCGTTGCCATCTCTTTTTTTTCCTTTTTTTTTGTTTTCTCAGTTTGAGAAAGTATTCAAATTGCTTTGGTTGAATAATAATAAAAATGTGCAGTTGGCTCCAAGAAGCAGGCAACATTCTCAGCAGCTAATCGTTGTTGCTGTGTGTGTGAGTGTTCATATATATGTGTGCATGTGTGCTAATGCTGCTTGTAAATGTCAAAAGCCTCAGCATGTCTACACACATCGTCGCCGTTACCGTCGTCGTTGTCGTTGTCGTCCCGCCTGGTTCTTATGCATATGGAAATGCCAATTTCAAACATCCTACACATCCGACATGGGCCTAGACCGCTCCTGCCCGTTTCCCATTTGATTTGGGCCAAGTCACAACCTGCCGATAAGACAAAAGCGTATGGCTGACCAAAGATGCGTTGGGGCAGTTGGCAACAACTGCTGCTGTTGCCAAATTCCTGCCTTGTCTGTGACTACGACTATAGATAAAGAATTTACATATGGAATTTATGCCTGCAAGTGGACAAGTGTGTCTATGGATGTGCGTGTGTGTGTGTGTGTGTGTCGAGACATGTTTTGACTGTCACGACGGTAATTGATCTCGATTAAGACCATGTACGAGAAGTCGCTTAACAAGCACACAACACATGTACATACACACACACACACACACACGCACACACACAAATGCATAAATACATAAATATGTATACAGATGTGTAGCCAATTTAGTCGCGTTCTTAAGGTTTTTGCTTATATCAGCATTAATTGGCTTCGCTTGAATTCCATCAGAATGAACGAAGGTTGAGTTGAGGCTCTTCTGCCCTCCCAAGATATTATTGACAATAAATTCTGGGAAAACGCTTCAGTTAAATTGAATCATTTGAACATTTGAATATTAAAATCAAAATTGCAATATTGTTTCAGGAATTTTCGTAGCATTTCAAGATTTTATTAATAATGTGAGAAGCAAGAAGCTGACATGCTCCGTTCAATGTTAATCATTTTCTAGAATAAAAAGTTGAAGTTGAAGTAGAAACAAAACACGTTCTTTAGACAAGAGTTAATTAGAAAGAAAAAACAGTTCTTGCTCAAAAGTTAAATAATTAGTTAAAATTAGATTGAAATTTTAAGACTAAGTTAAGAATGACTTAACTGAAAGAACAGTGGATTTTTTAAATAAATATTTGTGAATAATGCCATAAATATATTTCCTTTTTAGACACTGCTTTACATCAAATGAATTTTGAAGAGTTATTTATACTAAGCTGTAATTTTGGTTCTTTGTTGCAGGTCTGGTTTCAGAACCGTCGCGCCAAGTGGAAGAAGCGCAAGAAGACCACAAATGTATTCCGCACACCAGGCGCTCTGTTGCCGTCGCATGGTCTGCCACCGTTTGGGGCAAACATCACGAACATTGCAATGGGAGATGGGCTGTGCGGCACGGGAATGTTTGGCGGTGATCGCTGGAGCGTTGGTGTCAATCCGATGACGGCAGGTGAGTGCACGGCCGAGTGGTGTGGCGCTCTTTGATTGATAGCTAACTACAAATCAAAAGAAAAAACTAACTAACTAAATCTCTAACTATGCATCCTGTCTATCTATATTTGTATCTGTTGGTTCTGTCTCAAAGGCTTTGGCCAGCTGAATCAATCGTCACCGCTTTCGTCCACGCTGAATAGCGGCCTCAATTCGGGCATTAACATGGGCTCCGCCCTGGGTGCCGGCACCTATCAGCACTATGGCCTCAATGCTTTGGGTAGGTGTTGCGTCACGCTACCCTTCACTACAATCTACCACCCTCCCCCTGAATTCCCAAACCACTTGATTAAGATCACATGTTCCAAAACTTTCCATTTGCATGACAAGAGGCTGAAAAAGCGTTGACACTTTTTGGCTACCATTTTTGTTGTTGGTGTTGTATGTTTTTTGTGTTTTTTCCTCGATTGCTTCTTTATTTATTTAGCTTTCGATACAATCCAGTTCTTCTGACAATTGCCCATACACGACATCGACGACAGCGTTTTCATTTCTTTGAACTCATACACACTTTTTTTTTTTTGTTGAGCTACCGAAAATAAATAAATAAAAGTAGAAACATACAGAGTAACAAATAATTTATAGAGCTCCGAGCTGCGGATTTTTGTGTATTTGCTCGCCCAATTAACAGGCAGTCGCTTAATTTTCAGGAATACCCAAAGACATTTGTTCGCATTTCGTTGTACGACACGTCTTCGTCGACTTTTGTTTGATTTCGTATTCGTATAGCTGTGCTAATTGATATTTTGGAGACAGGTTTTTTTTTCAAAGTTTTCATTGTTACAGTTTCTTCGTTTTATATTTATTTTTTCTTTTTGAGTAAACAAAATATATGTATTCGGTGTATCTACAGTTCCGTATTATTAATTGTGTTTTTCTGTACGCAGGCGACTCGATGATGTATCAGCACAGCGTGGGCGGGGGGGTAGGCTGCGGACCGGGCGGCTCCCCGAGCGCCTCCACACCGCCCAACATGAACAGCTGCTCATCGGTGACGCCGCCGCCGCTCTCCGCGCAGCCGAATGTCCCCCAGAACGAGCTCAACGGCGAGCCGATGGTGAGTTTTGAAAGCCTAGACACAAACCAGGCGTCTACATTACCATTTAACATTGACAGCCACACCACCAACAACAACAGCAGCAACAACAGCAGCAGACACACCAACCGCAGCAGCAACAGGCACACCAACAGCAACAGCAGCAGCAGTCGCTAACACACCAGCAACAGTCAGCGACACCAACACAGCAACAGCAGCAACAACAACAGCAACAGCAGCAGCAACATCAACAACAGCAGCAACAGCAACAGCAAGATAGCAACAATTTGCTGCCGCACTGTCATCAGGCGATGCAGTCGCCAGATGGCGCTACCGATGAGGACGTATGGCGAGGACATAGCATTGCAGCGCTGCGGCGGCGAGCTTCCGAACTAAATGCGACAGCAATTCCATCGTATTTGCATCACGCCGCCGCCGCCCACAATAACTACGAGCATCACAATTCGGTCTACTGAAATTTGTTGAAAAGCTTTGAAAGCTTTTCGGATTACGGTTTTTCCAATAGCGGCACTCACGAGTATTGAATAAACTGAACACAGTTTGACAGCCACCCGCTCGGGCCAACCGAGCTTTAGATTAAGCTAACCAAATTTTAATTTTACATTTAAAGAATTAAACAATTTATGAGTTTGACATCAGTCCAGTTCAGTTTTTTGTGTTGTCTTATTATTTGCAACTTGTCCATGAAACGATAGCATCGTAGCATATTTAAAACTAAAAAGACTATAATGAATGTAAACCATGTATACGAGAGGAAAACGTGAACTATTTTTAGTGGCATTAACTAGCAGATTTAACGGCATATAAATATATACACAGCCCCATAAATGTACGAGTATTGAAAATAAGCGTAAATCATTTAAATTTAACAAAAGTCCAGTCACAAGGCCTGAACTAAACGAATTAATTATTTAGCAGTAACGAAACAAAAGCATTAATATTCATGAAGAAGAATACAAAATAAACATAACGTATACGAAGTGAACAGAAACGTCAGAGGAAAATTGTATAAAAAAAAAAAAACAAAAACAGATGGAAAGCGCTCACAGATGGCTATAGAAGATCTAACTGAAAGGAAGGCACACAATAATTATGACTTGACTTTTAAGCGGATTAGAGCAGCTAACAAACATATATTATATAAATATTATATATACACATACTTAAATATATCGAGATGTAAGCGTAAGAATTGTAGATGTAAACATAAGTGTTGTTGTTTTTGTGTATAGCCCTTCTCTGTTTAGTTCTTTTGCTAAACTTACTTACATATACATATACATATACATATACATTACATATACATACATAGATACATAAGAGTACTTGCTTACATTCCTACATATACTGTTTAACGCAATAAACCACATGGATAGCAAATATGCAATACCCACAAGCAGAAATCGAAAAAGAAGAATATTGAAATGAAATTGAAAACAATGTATAATTAAATGTCAGCTAATTGCTGATCAGATGACATCAGATGGACTCGTGCATAATCCAGTATCGTCGAGCCCACACATAAACACACATAATAGATGCATGAATACAATTATGAAATACTTGTAATAGACTTTCTTCTAATGTTTAAGCCTAAATTTAACAGAAAATTAAATCGAAAACAAAAACTCAAAAAAAAATATTTAAGAAAAAAGAAACAAAAATCAACATGTATGTAATTATGCGTATTATTAAATAGTAAACTAAATTAAATATGAATTGAACGTGATTTAAATAACAGTAAATTGAAAAACTATGCTAAATAAAAAAAACTGATTTCAGTGTAAATGTAATGCGATTTGCGATGTAGCTTAACTTTTAATTATATCAAGTTCGAGTACATGTAATTAGGTAGAACATTTCATTAATATGCTGCAAATGCATTTAATGCCAAGTCAATTAGGTGCAACGCTTTACACGCCGACAGGGGTAAGGTAAGGAGAGGTGGCAGGTGGCAGGTGGCAGTTGCTACAAGCGCAATTACAATAATTGCATGTGAGCAGCTTTTTGGTTGGCTAATAAAAACGACAAAACGAATTTGCCACAAACAACTTTAAGCTCAAATTGGCAAATTGATAAAAGTTTGACAGCACACACACACACACACACGTGTGGATGCACATGCACGCACACGTTTTTGGCCGGGCTTTGGGTCAAATATCCATTGCATTGGCATTGACTGCCTGCTATGATTGGGGTCAACAACGGAGACGGCAACAACAAAAACAAGCGTGTCCACTGAATGACTACGGCTGCTGTGATTGCATCTGCAATACCCTGTAGATGAAAGTCAAACAGAGAATTTAGTGTGAGTGCAACATCTGCAACAACTTGGCCAACTCAACTTAATTTTATTATTTCTCATATTAAAATAACGGATTAATATTTGCAATAATATTTATTTCTGAATATTCTGCATAATACTGCATAGTAGACAAAAGACATATTATTAATAATTCATCTTATTCAATTTGCTTTAATATTCCAAATGTTCAGCTTATCCCATCCACTCAAGCACTTTTCTGTTGTTGTTTTCTGTTGAAACTTTGTGTATGCTCGCACGGGCCTTATAAATATTATAACGGCTGCAGCTGTGACATTTGACATGCACATTGTCACGACAATTGGCCAGAGTTAATCACACTGATGGCATTTTGATGCGATGTGGCAGCAACAGCAGCAGTCGCAGCAACAGTCGCAACAGCAGCCGAGTGTAACGGAAATTCAATAATAAAACAACACAAATTTATATACATATGTAGAGAGATAAAAAGATGTATGTGGATGGATCTATATGCGAATGTGAAAAGTGGATAGAAAGTCGGGGGCACGCAGTATGACATGCTCGAACTCCAGAATTGATAGTTTGCCATCGCCGTCGACGTCGGCTTCCTCGATTACCTTGTCAGCAATCTGTTGGTGCTCCTCCGGACTCAGCTCGTTTTTGGTCATTGTCGTCAGGCAGGACATCAGGTCAGCGTGCCCAATGAAGCCGTCCTGATCGAAATCTGCAAAGTCATGCCAGACATGCATAAGTTCTCCTTGTCGCTACACATCTACTACACGTACTACACACACATGTATACATTCGCTTATCCTAGAAGTGAATATGCAGATATGTACTCGTAGTTGTGTGTGTGTCATTTTATCTAAGCTGACATTCTCATGCATAAGAGTCAAGTGATGTGTGCAAAACGAAGTTACGAGACATATTCTTATAAATGTGTGAGTGCCTTGTGTGCATAATCACATGTGCTCCTTGTCAGCGTTGCATGCTTCAATTTGTGTCAATCTAATAATGCACATTGAGACAAAGTGCCCCAACGTTCTTTCTTCGTTCGCTTTTCTAAATATTTGCATTGCAACGTTTGGAGTTGAGTTCCAAAACATTCATACAAATATATGTGGGCGAGCAATAAAATAAAAGCGACACCTTGGCAAATTGTTGAAGCCGTATTGAATAGTAATATGAAATCAGTATTTCTTACACATGAAAATAAATTCAAATGGAAGATTCTAGATTCCTCTCCTAGATTGATTTTGAATTAAAGTTTCCTGTTATATTGAATCCATAAGTGTTTGGTTTGCTCAGTTAAATAATGAATGAGTCAAACTTCAATAATCTAATCTGAAATGCGAACGATAAGATTCACACAATTTTGTTTTGTGTGCGATTATTTATTGGCTTTTATTCAATTCAATTTACCCGCTCTGCTGGCACTTTATTTATGCAATTCCCAATTCAATACAATGTTAAAAACTAATATATTTACATTGGGCATAATATTGTAGACTTAATTGCCGGCGAGTTCATTTGTGCGCTTCGCACTCGTAAATCCACAAAGTTGTAAAATCAATTTGCAACTGGCTGCCAGAGAGCGCGGTATTTTTCTGATTCTGATTCTCATTTAAATTTCAATTAAAATGCTTATTAAAATTTATGACTATCCTTGAACTATGCTACCAGGCAACAACAATGCAACAAGGCAATAGGCAACGTTGGACCTGGGCCACAAATTACTGAGCCACGACTCTAGCAACTCGCGGCAATGGCATTGCGTTCCATCTAAATGCCATAGACACAAAAGGAGACCAGGCAATAACAGCAACAACATCTCCAGCCGTGGCAAACACATAAACAAAACCAGCAAATGTTGGCCAAAACCGTGCACCACAACAACAATACGAACGGCAAAAATGAAAAGAGGGAACGGATTTCTTTGGCAAGCCGAAGGATTATATATGCATGCAGACTGAAGTCGACTTGCTTAAATTTTGTGTAAGATATTTAAAAATTACCCAACATTTTCATCGATTATGATAAAAATGACAATTGAATTTCTTTAAATTTAAGGAACTAAGTATTCGTATAGAAATTAAAGGACGAACTGGCGGCGATGGATATATTGACTCCGTTTCCCAATCACCTCACCTAGTAATCTATAATATTATTGAAGAGGTCTGTTGTAATGTGTTGCACATTTCATGGCAAAGTCCAAATATCCTTTGAAAGAGTATAAGAACAAGATGTGTATAGAACTTACCATAAATCTTGAAAGCATAGAAAACTTTAATGTCTCTGGGTGCCTGCTCGCTAAACACGGATAGGGCATCCAAGAAGTCCTCAAAGGATAAATTGCCCAGGCCATCGCGTGAGAATGCCTCGCCTGATCAGTGGCACAGTGGGCGTGGCAGTCGGGTGAGCAAGGCGTTAACCAAAAAAACAAAATCGTTTTGCTTATGAATGCGGCATTGTTGTTTTGGCATTTGTTGTTGTACTTACAGATACGTCGCCGAAAGGGATTCTCACGCAACTCGGGCATCTTCTCAATGCACTCGCGTGGAACCTTGACACTTGATGCCTGACCCTCGGTCATTTGGCGTGGCACCAAATCCGGACGCAGCTCCCGAAATCGTTTGTGCACCCTGCGCCAAAAGCGGAAAATAAGGGGGAGCAAAAGGGAGCACTTGATGAAAGGCTTTGTGTTTGCCAGTGTGTGTGTGTGTGTGCGTGTGTGTTGGTGTGTTGTGAGTGTGGTTGTTGTGAGTGTGTGTGCGTTTTTGCTGAGTGCTCAACAAAAGGATGCGGCAAACAATGGCGCCGAATAGCCCCGTGTTTAGTCATATGAAAGGAAAATAGTTTCGCTTATTATATTAACACAGCAAACGAAATAACAAACAGAAATTACTCATACGCCCTCGCTGTCATATACAAACCGTAGAATTTCCTTGCGTGTGAAAAACGTGCAATCCTTTAAAGATAGACGAGATAGTTTAAACGTATGAAACATTTAATCAACACTGAATATGCTTTAATAAATTGCAATCAGTCTACAACATTCAAGATCTGCATTTATTGTTACAGTAATAAAGACATCAACTCTGAATCAATCAGAAAAGAATCATTACTAGCACTTTTTTGTATTTAATACCAGTTTTAAACTTAACTTAACTTAAGGCTTGATTGACTTGCTTAATCTTTATCCTATGAACTCAGAGACAAATATCTTGCTTGAAGCAAGCAAAAGTAATTAGTAGTAAGCTAATTGCAAAATTAATTATAATTAATTATATACAAAATGAAAACTTCTTGAAATGGGATTTTGTAAATTTGAAGTTAAATTAAATTTGCAAGTTGACCTGAGCGTGGCTCTTGCAGCTTAAGGTTCGTGGAGAAAGTGCACGCACCTGATAGTCATCCAGTTGATGTTCGGTGAATGTTACAACTTTGTTGCCCATCGCTTATCCGAACTGTGTTTGTTTATGCAGGAACAGGCCAAACGCAAACGCAAACGCAAACCGATGGCCCAACAACCAACTGCTGCCTTGTGCAAACACTGCGCGACTGGTGACTGCCGACTGGCGACTGGCGACACATAGCGAGCGGCGAGCTAGCGGACAAATGCTCAAACCGTTAGCATAATTTAGCATAGAACAACTCGGGCGCAGCCACAGTTCAGCGCGACAGACACATCCTGCGGCGCCTTGGCTCCAGCTTGTCCTGGCTCCGCACTCGCATGGAAATTAATTAAGGAGTGTTCACGGTGTGCCATTTTTGTTGTCTGTTTTTTTGCCTGTTGTTTTCACCGACTCGCACTGGCACTCGCCTCTGGTCTGTTTGGAAACGGCAAAGCGGCGGGCAAAAACGTTTTCCAAGAGGTGCGCCCAATAACAACAGCAACAACAGCAACAACAATGACTGGGCGGAATGGAAGGGAAAGGAAAGGAAAAAAGAGACACGGTAGCACAAATTCGATGCGAGTGTGTTTCTAGTTTTGCGTGGCGAACTTTACTAATTAATTTAATGGTCGACAGCACTTTTCAATTTCGCGTGTGTGCTTTATGAATTTATGGTAGTGACTGTCAGGCTTGGGATCCAAATCCAGTACGCTCAGCTTGGTTAGAAACTGACGGTCCTGCACACAGACAAGCCAAGGTTGCAACGAGCTGCAAAAAGTTAACACTGATTAGCTGTCAACGGGGCAGTGTGTATCTGTGTGTGTGTGTGATGCGGTTGCTTACCTGATGTGCTTGGCCGGGCAGCGTATTTCCTGAAACGTCAGCATTATGGAGCAGTCCAAAGCCGTCGCACCCAGCATGTATGCCTGCTCTGCTGGCAGTTTATCCACATCGACCTCTTCGGTGGAGCTTAGGAGCGCACGCAACGCCTGATAGGTGGGCGTGGCATGTTGAGCGTATCCCTTTTGCCACATGTAATGAAAATGCCGCTGTAATTGGCATGAAAAAGCGTTTGCAAGCGTTAGATTTAGCAGCACACAAACTGACAATGCCAAAAATGGTGGCAGCCAGCCACTTGGCTGGCGTCCAACTGAGCATCTAGCTCAAATCCCACTGCTCTACTCCACTACTCCACTACGTCACCGGCCTTGACGTCTTTCGTGAGTATCGCTCTGTGTCCGTTTGCCGTTTAGCTGCCCTTTCAATTGCCCTCCCTTTGGCAGGAAGGCACTCTCGCTTGAAGCATTGTCGAAACATCGACCAGGTAACTCAATGTAGTTGCCTGCCTTTGTGCAACTCTCCTTGCTGCACTCAACTAGCAACAACAGAATAAAATATGTTAAAGTAGAGCATGCTCGACCAGATAGTATTCTGTAATCAGATCTTAAGCATAATACGTCCATATAAACAACGAGCACAGCATTGAGCTAAGGCTCTCTTTGGAAAATTCAAGTCCCTTGACTGCTGCTTAAATTAATGTTGAAAGAAGTTCGTGAATACTCAGTCAGCATTCTCAGAATTCCCAGCTTTGCGGATTAAAAGTAAGGGGTCACAGCTCCAAGGCAACTGTCAGCTAGAGGATCCAAATAAGTAAGAATATCGACTTTATGGGGCACTTGATGATTACTGCTGACTTTTCCACAAATATAAACACACATTGTTTTAAAACGCATTGATAGGGTATAAAAATGACTAAAAGCATCAACTGGATGGCCATCAAAGGCGGTGGCCGAAGCTGCAGTTGGAGCATTGCTTATTGACTCAAAATAAAAAATAAACAAAAAACGACAGACAATTTTCTTTTATCTTCTTTTAATGTTTGTTCACTTACCTTTACCAGCAATTGCAAATGCAAAATTTTCTGAAGCACACAGTTTTTTGGTAAGTGAAATATTTCCGCTTTGTTGATCTCTACTTGAGTCGCTTTCGGATTCGGAGTCGTCGTCGTCGTCGTCGTCGTCGTCATCGTCGTCGTCGAAGTCACTGTCGCCAGTGTTTCCGTTTCCGTTTCCGTTTTCGCTTCCGTTCGGGTTGCTCCTATTGCCACATTCGTTGACAAGTTGGTTGGCGCAGTTGTTGTGCTTTCTCGTTGGCACGTTGTTGTTCTCGTTGTCGTTGCTATTTTGCCACGCTTTGTGTACCTTGGGATTGCTTTTTCAGCTGCTGCTCTTGTAAAGCGTCGCTGTGGCTGACCAACAACAGCTTCGACAAACTCAACTATTCCATCGTCAGCCTCTTTTTGCTCCTTCCTCTCTCTCGTGTCTTGCTGCTTTTTCACCTGCTTTAGCTCTTTTACGTGACTCGACACAGTAACAACAGCAGCAGCAGCAGCAGCAACATCAACATTAGCTGCGTAAATTTCTGTAGCTGCTTTTGTCTCCATGCCACCAAATGGCACGGATGGCGATTCCCAAAATGCAGCGCCTGCCACGTGGCTGAGATTTAGACTCGAATTCACACTCTGGCTCTGGCTCTGGCTCTGGCTCGGACTCTGAATCTGACTGCGGGTTTCTAACTCTTTGGCCAGCTCGTTGTTGTATTCCCTGAGCAGGCAGGCGACCAGCAAATGTTTTATAAGCGCCATAATTTCACTAGAGAATTTGAAAGATTTTATGACCATGGCGTTTGCAGAGGGAAAGAGAATCGAGTTTGGCATTGGGATTGGGTGTGGGTTTGTTCAATTGGCATCGTCGTTGGCATTGGTGAGTTTTCCCAGCATTTTCGTTTGACAGCATTTTCAATGCACATTCCAATTTTGCGGGGGCGATAGTTGATGTTGTTGTTGTTGTTGTTGTGATGGTGGTTTTTGTCAACGATGTGCAAAGGTGTTGAAATGTGTGAACAAAACATAAGGGAATGCAGCATGACGGGCAGAGAGAGAGAGAGAGAGAGAGAGAGAGAGAGAGAGAGAGAGAGAGAGAGAGAGAGAGAGAGAGAGAGAGCGGAGGGAAGAAAAGGAGGAAAATGGCAATTTGAGCTGTTAGCACTCGAGAATTTGTATTTGGCCTTTGCTTGCATTATTTATTGAATATTTGCGTGCAGAACAATTGGTTTGAGATTCTATTTGTTTTTTTTTTTGCGTTTTATTTTTTTTATATTTTGTCTTTTACTCCCTTTTTGGGTTTTGCTGGCCTTGTAATTGTATGGCTTCCATGGAAATTTGTGTGGCTTCTGTATAAGTATTATAGTCGCTTACAATAACTTGCTTTGGCAAAATAGCGAAAGCCAAAAGAATTTTGTTATTTGAGGCAATGAGAATTTTTCGGAGAATTACAAATGGAAGGAGATTTCATTTAAATTAAATTTAATTCAAAAACGCTAGAGGGAAGTAGACATAGGAATTTCTAGCTAAAATTCGTTGTAAATAATTTAAGCATTGAGAGCGTCTCCATAACAGCAAAGATTGCGACGATTTTCGTTTACTTTAAATCAGAATCAAGAATTCACAGCGATAAATGTACCCAACAAATATAAGCACGCTCTTCATATTGATAAAAAACAAAACGAGAAAAAAAAAGAAGCAATTTGGGCTTACCTTGGAAAAACTCGAGAGTGCAGCTCTTCACAGGAAATCGAATTCGCGTGATCGCCATAAATTAAATTGCCGCTCTGAAATACACGTAAATTATTTTGCGGACAAGCGAAAAGTGCATTCAAGGCATCGAGCATACGACCGGGTGTACTAAAATAAAAAGACATAAGATATATACACACATATATATATATATAAATAACACTATTATAACATAAATGTGTGTGTATGTGTATGTGGATGTGTATGTGTACGTGTACGTGCAAATATGTATGGATGGATGGATGATATAAATGCAATTCGAAATAAGGCAGGGCAACACAATTTTGTGTTGAGCGCAAAGCCAAGTCCGTAAAAAGCCGAAATGAAACGAAACGAAACGAAAAGAAATAAAAATAAAATGAGATGAAACGAAAGTGGATACGAAGCAGGCGGTAAACCGGAATGAAAGCGCAAGCAAATTGAATTTCGTGCACGAATGCATGCATGACTTAAAACAGCGGGCCACAAATAAGCGAATGAGCCGCGGGATCCCCAGACACAGGCCCACATAGTAAAGGCTCCGACTCCGGATACAGAATACGGCAAAAAGTGCCATCGAAGTGCCTGTAGGTAAAAACATGCCGCACGCCAAACACCAGCAGCAGTTGCAGCGCCAGCAGCAGCCCCAAAGTGTTGGAATTATGAAGCATGACAGGACACGCAAATGGAGCAGATTGAAATTTATGAGTTGAGGGCATTTTCGCAGCGCCGAGCATCAGGCCGAGGAACAGGACCCCGAGCATCCACAGTGTGAATTGAACTTGTTGAAGAGAACTCTTACCCGGAGAATAGCTCCAATGGACAATAGTCGCCCAATCGTTTGATTTTGCCCGTCTGCAACTGTTGGACAAAGAGTAGGAAAAACGTTTGTAAATCAAATAACAAGCAACTTGGCATCACACACATCACCTGCCAGCCTGCCAGCTCCACTTACCTTTACGAACTGCATGCTGCAATAGCGACACCGGCACCTGTTTGGGGTTAACAACAACGGCCCTGTTGGCCGCACCTTAGCCGGATCCGGGGTCGAGTCCGTTTTCCCGTCGCCCGCTGGCATTAAATCAAATAAATCGCTGACATCACTTGGCAACTGGAGCCAGCCCTGTTTCGGTTTTATTTCGATGGCATATGTATCGCCCAGACGGGTTATTCCGCTGCTGTCCTTGTTGCTCCTGCTGCTGGCGCTGCAGATATCCATGTCCGCGTTCATGTCCTTTGCCTACAAATTATATCGTTTGGCTTACTTTTCTCTTTTCATTGTTGCTGTTACCCCTGCTGTTGTAAATATAGTCAGATGAGCAGTGAGTGGTGCGTAAGGAGTAAGGGGTAAAGGTAAAGGATGTCTGTCGTGCGCAAACTTTTTCCAGCATTGACGCCATTTTGACTTGAAAATGCCAACGAGTGGCGAAGTGGAGTTGAGTGCGCCACAAACAACAGCAACAGCAACGAGCGCAGAAAAAAAAGTACACAGAAAAACAAAAAAGAAAAAGAGGAGCTGGAGCTGGAGCTGGAGCAGGAGCAGGAACATCGTTGCAAGTATGAACATGAACTGTAACTGCCTGCCATTGTCCTTGCTGTTGTTGCTGCTACTGCCGTGACATAAAACAAAAGTTGTTGTTTGCCGCGCTGATTGTATGATGAGTTATGGCGCTTGCTGGACACCAGCAGGTGAGAGAGAATTTCCGTGCTCATCCTCGATGCCATGTGCACTCCATGTGCGGCAGACCAAGTTGAAATTGAAAATTAACATTTAAAGCCACAATTAAAAGTGGCCGTTTTGCTTCCCTACTTCGTCCTATAGCTGACCACGGGCTACCCATATTCATAGTCATATCCTGGACGGCACACAATATGGCGTTAGTTATGGCGCCATAACTATTGTTTTTTCCTTCACTTCTTGCAATTTTATTTCGGTCAATGCTTTGGCACCAAAGCCATAAATTGAATGTTTAACCGTCGTGCACAGCCCCCAAAAGCCGCAACTTCTTCAATCCTCGACCATTATGATATCCTCTGCCAAATATCCATCAAAACACCCGCTTGAGCAACTACCAATATTTTGCTCTAAAATAATGGCAGATATCATGTTTATATTCTACAATATATCACATCAATTCTCTAACAAAACAGAAGCAATTTTATATTAATTTCTAAATTTAAAAATGGAAAGTTAACATTTTAAAGCATGTTTCAATTTATAGTCAGATGTTGAAACAAAGATTAACAATCTTTAAATATTTCCATTTCCTTTTAATTTGCATAGATATTAATAAATACTACCCAAATCGTATATAGGATAATATGGAAAATATATTTATCAAGCTAAGCAATTGGGAAATATTCGAAGATTTTCAGACTAAGCTCGATACACCCTCACAAATGGTACTGAGTTGCCCATCGAATATGAAATCTAATCTACCCTTGCTGGGCATCGATATATATATATATATATATATATATATATTTATAGGGCATGTTGAACTAGTAGCTTTGGCGGCACTTTCAAAGCAATTTCGGCGTCTTTTACAACCGCACAAACCGAAACGGCCATCGGGTCCAGGCAAGGTTTCAGCTTTGGCTGCCGGCCACAGCAGCAACTACAATAACAACAAAAGCAGCAACAATAACACTGGCAATGGCAACAACAATGTGTTTACACTGTTGCCCACTTTAATTCAAAACAAAGAACCGTTGATTTATGTAGCCTTAGCTTCCATGTCCCACATCCACGGGCATGTGTCCATGGCATGGATCCTGGCTTAGGTTTCTCTGCAATTGTTTATTTCTTCTCTTTTTTTGTTGTTGTTTTATTCGTCTATTTTGTTTTTATATAGTGCACAAAGGCGAGCTAAACCACAGCGAGCAGCAAGCTGTGAGCTGCAAGCAGCGCATATGGCCGAAAAATGCCAATATTGTCCTTGTACAGAATATACAATATATTTGAGCTGAGCGCACCCTCGTCCCCATTGATGCCGGTTGTGGGCAGCTCCGAAAACTCACCTGTAAATTGGCAAGTAAAACATCGAACGTGGCAGGCAATTGGGTCACATCTGGCAGCATCAGACCAAATGGCCCCACAAATTCCTTATCCAGACGCGAAACTGCAAGTGGAAAAGTGGCACAACATGAATGTAAAGTGCAACAACAGCAACAGCAACAGCAACAGCAACAGCAACTGCAACACAAGCAGCATCAGCATCAGCATCGGACGCATTGGCCGATTATTGATATATAGATGCCGCTGGGTTAGCGCGGCTGGCAATGATAAATTGTTGCCCGGCAGCCTGTTGCTAGTCAAAGCCTCAACTACATGGCCAGCAATATAGAAACCGAATTTTGATATATGGCTGCGACTATTGGCCAGCACTAATCAGTCCCCTGTGTGTCTGTGTGTGTGTGTGTGTGGAGGAGCCAATTTTAGAAACTGGAGTGAGCTTGGACAATTCTCGGACGTCAGTAAAAGAGATGCAATAAAAAACTCGTTTATGATTGATTGCTCAGTGCGCGGGGTAAAAGGCGCTGGCTGTTGGCCAAAACCAACTTGGCCAAAGCCGGGGGCCATGTGCATCGCAGCGGCACTGATCAAATACAAAATGTTGCCGATGTCGATGTCGATAGCATAAAAACTTGCAAACATAAAAACACGCATACACAAAGAGACATATAGAGAGAGAGAGAATGACAGAGAGAGAGAGAGAGAGAGAATGACAGAAAGAGAAAGTATCTGACAAAAAGTCATGTTTAGATGAACTCACCCGGTCTGTGGGCGCGTATGTGCTCGTTTATCCAGAATATATCGCTTTCCTTTGGTATGGCAACAATATCCGCTGTGCAGACAAACTCATTTCCTAATAGACGGCGCATTATCTCGATATAAGCCATAAAATCCGGCATTGTCAAGACGCCAGCTAAAAAAGGGGCAGGACCAACAGCTACAGCAACAGCAACAGCAAGAGCAAAGCAAGAAATAAGATAAATGAAATAAACACATCTGATGCAATGGCCAAAGGATGCACAGCCAGCCACAAAAACCGATATGACAACGGTCATAGCAACACAGTGGTCGCTCGCCATTAGCATTGCTTGCTTTTTAAGCATTATATTATACATTATAAAATATAATAATTTAAATAATAAATAATAAATGTTTTCAGATTGCTTTTGAGATTATTATTCTAATTTCAAATTATCACATCTTTCTGTACAAACTATAAATATGTAAACTTTAATAATTACTGTAGATAATCTTCAAGAAATTAAAATGAGCATAAAATAAAGAAGATATTAAGTGTAAATATTGAAAGTAGAATGAGAACTTTCGATTTTTTGGACAGTTCTTGATTTTGAGAAGGTTTTCACTTCAATGCAACCACTGTATATAAGCATATATACACAGACATAGATGAACAAATATAGACGTAAGTATAAAGCAAGAATAAAAGCCAGCCATGCGGGCAATAAGCATGGCACTATACACAAATTGGCCAGCACCAGAGGAAGGACTGGGTTTGCTTTTGCTTTTGGCTACGGCTGCAAGGGCAAGGGAAGCAAGCGACGAGGAAGCGAGGGAGGCTGGGGTGTTTGAAGTTGCACGCAACCATTTCCTGCACAAAATTAACAACAATAACATGCCAGCACAGATACATATATAATACAGATATATATATATATATATATATATAAGCTATACAAATATATCGCAGCAACCTTTAGCGCTTGATGCTTTCGTTGGGTCGGAAACGCTGGGCTGTCCTTCCGGCTGTCCTGCCCCGGCGGGCAACTGGCAACTGTGCTGCGTTTGCGCCTGCTGCGTCTGCCGACTGCTGGATATCATTTTTGGCAAACGTAAAACTTTTTTAAATTGCGGCAACGCCAGCACCAAATTTGCATTACCCTCCGCCCGATAGATCAACCCAATTTGGCTCATCTCCATCGGCGGTGCATCGGGCATGTGCAGCAGCGCGTTTAGAGTCTTAGCTGTGGCAAGCAGGGGATGCGACGGCGAAGGCGATGGCGAAGGCAATGGAGATGCTGCAACTGTCCGCAGAGGCGCTGTCATGACTTTTGCGCGGGTGTTTGCGGTTCGTTGGTATTGTCAAAATGCAACTGACACCGACAAGCGTCCGTCTCGGTTCTTGGTGGTCTGCCCACTGGCGCGCCAATGTTGATTATTTTTCCGATTGTGGGTTGTTGCGGTTGGGCCTTTGTGGTTTGTCTTTCTTGTTGCTGTTGTTCTTGATGTAGTTGCTGTTGCAGCTTGGCACGTTTGTTCAACTTTGTTGTTTTGTTGAGTTTGAGATAAGATAATCCGTTTGGCGTAGGCAATGCGAAGAATGGCATTTGCTTTTATAGAATTTGTTGCCTGAAACACAGATTTAAATGAATTTGCATTCATATTTAATTTGTTTCAAATTTATATTTACGATAGAACTGCGACCGTATTTTATTTACTTCTGTATTGATCACAGCAAAGAAACTAGGCTTAGCAAGCTGTGGGACCAGACTTAACGAATGCGCAACAGCTGTTTGTGGCGGTCGGCTGATAGACGATCAAGCCCAAAAAAATACCAACTGTTGACATATTAGGTCGAGGTGTGACCAAAACCTGTCGGGGAAGGATGCGCACATTTTAAACTAACCAACAAATAATTAAGAAACTTTGGTTTTAGTTATTTTTCATCATTTATTGCAACGTTTGTTTAATTTTTACGAATGTATTGACCTGTGCTCGTCTGCACCAACGTATGGCCGCTAGCATTAATCACTTGTGTAGCTGCGAAAAACAAAAACAAAAAATACAATTGGATTAATTAACAGATTATATTTTATATATATATTATAATAATTACAGGCACTGGCACTCGCGAGAGCCGCAATGAGTGCGAAGACAAAGCCGCAGATCTTCAGACAGTTCATGTTTTTGCTTGTTGATTAATTCTGACAGTATGACAAGCGAACGCCACACTCTGCGCTTTTATAGCTGCCTGCCTGCTCTCGAGTGGAAGTGATTTGAGCGAGGCTGGAAATTCCAGTGGCTACTTTTAATCAGCCAGGTTTTTTTTGTAAGTAGAAAACACCCAGAGCCATGACCGATAGAACTGATAACTCAAGTTGATATGTATTTGTGTTTCTTAAATGTTTACTTGAATGCGCTTCGCTTAAAATTACTTAGGCTAGGATGAAATGCTAAATCGTAAATTGGCTTATTTATTATGAATGGTAAATATATATTAAACATGGTATAAATATTACACATATGTATATAAACAATGCGTACTCAATCATCCATATCATCTTACTATCAGCATACCTAAGTCTAAGTTTAAATTGTTCAAAATTGTATGTTTTAATTTTTTTGAGTGTAAATATTAAATGTGTTTATATGTTATACATATACAAATATACACACGTATGTGTCAGATTTATAGGTTCTAGCGATATCATTTTAAATAGGAAACAATAACCTATTAATTAAAATCCATCAGCCTGTTTCAGTGCAAAAACTGGATCCGCTTCTCGCCTCCTTGTTTCATAGTATCTATCCAGGTTTGAGTTCACGTTAAATGTCAAGCAATAATGCGCTACTAGCGATAGGCAAGACAGATTACAAGTGCCAAACGTACGATCTCTCACCCGCAAAAATTCCAATTCGTTGGGAAAATCCCGTTCAAGCAACCGCAGTCGGGGCAGCTATAAAAGATCGCTTGCGCTCACAGATTGAATCAAATCAGTGTCAACCATACAGACAACATCAACAATCAATATGCAATTCTTCAAAGCTGCTGCAGTTCTTTTGGCCATGTTCGCCGCCTTCGCCAGCGCTGAGCCCGTCCCCAAACGTAAGTTTTATCAGCATGTTAACAAACTATTTACGAATGTTCCTAATCATGTTCCTTGGTTTCTTTTATTTTTATTTGTTTTCACAGCTGGCACTGTGCTTGTCCAGACCGACAACGTTCAATACATTCGCACTGGTTAACTTCTAAGACAAATAACTGAATTGCTTACATAAATATAACGGATGTGTTAAACTAAATATACAATGTGTTCAACATATTTACATTCTTGTCTTTAAATTGGGCAAAAGGGGATTTTCAGAAAATTGAAAAGTAATGGGATAAAGGACAATTTCTTTCATTCATTTCAGTGATGTAAAAGTTAGCAAATTGTCAACTTTCAGCTAAAAATATTTAATATTTGTTGTTTTGTTCGGCAGCAGTGTTAAATAGAATACAATTATAAATAATAATCAGCGTATCTCTGAGGCTTCTGCTGAGATTCCATTCAGTGCATGTGAAATGTCAAACAATAATGAGCCGCTGAAGGGCATCTGAGATCATTAGTAGCTGCACTGATAGACAATTTTTTAGCCTGCAAAATTCCAGTTTGATAATAATTTCAGCCGCAGTAGAAGCAACCTCAATCAATCGATCGATTGACTTGGTATCAATCATACAGACAACATCTGCCAGCAGATATGAATACAGTGAATACACTCGCAAAGAAATACATTTCATTGCCTAAAGGGGGTTTTAGAAAATGCATAAAGTGCTCGGAGATGTTGATGGAAATTTTAACAATTAATTCCAGTAAGGCCTACATCAATTATTTGCAAAACAAAACTTGAATTAATCTAGCTTTATAATTAGTTTGAGACATAAAATTGCTCAGTCACGCAATAAGTCTAAAATAACCCATGCAGATATCATTTGTAATAAGTATGGTAAAAAGTTATCAAGAAATTGGCTGTGCGCTAAGCAGTATTTACATTTCCTGGAATTTGAATTTATACTAATTAATGTAAACCTGCTCCTATTACCAGTTTACTCTAATGAATTCTAAGAGATTTTCAAGTAAAGTGTCTACTCATTCATAACGCTTGATAATGTAAATATTCTGGTTGTGGCTTAGTAGAGACTGCTCTTATACACTATACAAAGAGGGTCCATTTCCATGTGCATGCATTCAGTTCAATACATATGTCATAATCGGTTAGATCGGATTACTTTTGATATAGCTGAGCTATCCGTCGTAAAATAAGTTACCCCATCAAAAACTTATATGCTTACCAAGATTTCGCAATCAAAATGCATAGTTTCAAGTGTTATTTTGCTACTTACCTTCCGACAAAAAATTATAAGCATCGGTCTACTATATCTTTAGCCCCGCCAGAAACAAACAATATGTTATTATTCCTATTTTTTGCTCATTGCTATATTTCATATTGAAAGTAAAGGGTATTTGCGGCGAGTATATGTCTATATAAATTAGCTGTGACTGCTTGCATTACCAATGCGTAATTATAATGATTCTAAAAACTGGTTTTAGCAGCAACTATCAGATGTGCTGACTTTGTTGTTATTGAAATTGAATTGATAGTAAGTCTGGAAATGCCCCGTCCGGCGCTAATACGTGCACCCGAATATACAGTGCGGGCAGTAAAAATAGCACTGTTATCAATTCAGAGCTTTTAAAATGTCATTTTACTGTGTCTAGTATATATGTGCTCTTATGGAAATATGAATGATTATCAGATTGTTCTAAGTGCATTGCCAACAAACTGGACCCACCGTCAGACTGACAAGATGACGAAAGCTGGGCTAACCGAGAGCAACTTGATTTGGTTCGGCTTGTGGTTAGGTCCAGACCTAAAAAGCCGCGTTGATACTTCTGTGTTGTACTCGGCCAAAAACTTTCAACAATTTTCTAAAGCGAAAACTATTTGGTTGTCCCGATGCTCCTGTTTTTCTTTCTGTTACAGTACATTCCCGGGGCCATTGTTCCATATTGGGCAGCGTTGTATGGTTCGTTACATCAACAATTATTTTAAACTTTTGCCGCAAATATTTCCTTGGCTGGTTTTACGCCTGAAGTAAATTGTAATGGACGTTGCCTGGCAAACAGCTCGTATGACTGGCGGCAACTTTGCGGTCGACGTCGACATCAGCGTTGGCATCGGCATCAGTTGCCCATTGGCAGCCCAAGAAACTGGCAATAGAACCAGGCCCAGACTCAGGCGTTAGCTAATCCTTTTGATTTTCAACTGCACAAATTCCAGCTAACAACAATTTATGTGCGCACTGCCCCCACCCCCCCATACTCCTTCATCCTCTCAAATGGCTGGCAACAGTTGCTGTGGCAAAATAGCCCTGCATTGTGTGTATAAGTGTGTGTGTGGAGCAGTCAATGACGGGTGCCATTGTTTGGACTGTGTGGTGGTTTACCAAAAAATAATTGGCCTCATGGAATTTGCAACGATTTTCGCCAGCGGGTCTGAGAACCCAGAACCCATGCACACTTTCATCCCAGTATCAAAGTGAATTTGAGGGCACCTCGAACTATGATGCCCCAAAAATCGCTAACCAAGTATAATCAGGAATGGTAGCAGCTCCTCCTAGTTCTGCTGCTATGCGGGTTGGCCGCTAGCGTTTATTGGAAATTAATTTCAACGGGTATAGCCTTGGCAAAGTCAAGTAGTGTTGGCCCAAAACGTGCCACAAAGAGCAGCTAACAAACAAAATGAGCAAATTCCCAAGTGAATTGATTTTTCTCTTTCTGTCGATCTGATGCAAATCGAAATTCTAACTGACTTTGACTATGTGCTCCAATGCATTCCCAGACATTCAGTCAAATAACGCAGCTTCGAACTGTGCTCAAGAGTTGGCCAATCACGAATTCAAATTGACTACACACAATCACACACAAATACTCTGAGAACCGGGTTGAATCTTTGAAATTGCCTGGGTTTTTTATTTACGCTGCCGGGCAAATCCCGAGCCGAGAAAATAGATGCTGTATTTGCTGCGATTGTCGCTATAAAAGCGATAGCGAATCAATCGAACACATCAGAATTTGAGAGACAGCGCTTCAGTTCAGCTTTATTATAAACATGCAATTCATAAAGATCTGTGGCTTTGTATTCGCTATGATTGTGGCCCTGGCGTCTGCCGCCCCAGAACGTAAGTATTCTAGCTACTTGTGCTTGAAGGCGTAGAAATCATCTTTCTACAACTATCATTCTCTACTTCCAGCTCAAGGCACTCTGCTCATACAAACCAACAATGCTCAGGGCATTTTTACGGGCTGATAAGTAATTTTACCTACAATATGATATTAAAAAAAAAACTATAAATACCATTGAAACATGATTGTTGTTCAATTAATTCTATGGATTTCAGTGTTCAGGTTCGATGTATGGCATTCATTTTGTAATGCCTCTGAAGTATCGTGAATATTTAAAAAATATTCTGCGAATTGCTTAAGATATAACCAGCTCTCAAAATGAATATTATCTTAATCTTGGATCGAAAACTAAGCAAGAAATACTAAATCTTCAATCTTAAATCACAAATGAGATTTAGTCCAAGCAAATTGAGTATTATTTTTCACAAGCCTTTATACATCAGCAATGAGTAGTATATTTATTCCCGCACACGATTGAATACAGAATCGTCGAAGCAATAAGTTCCTTAACAATTTATTAAGCACAATAACAGAAAAAAGAAAATGTAAGAAAAAGCATTTTTATACTCATCGGTTATAGACGAGTGCCGAGCTGTTAATTGGCTGCAACTGACATGCATTATGGACAATGCGACATCCATTGGAATTACAGATTGTGCGGAATTTGGCTAATTGATTGGCGCCAATGTAGACAATATTCGGGCACATTAGCCAGAGGGTGCGCAGAACGGTGTTGCCATTGTCATAGCTGCCCAAGTAGCTATAGTAATCCTTATGGAAGGGCTTGATCAAATCGGCCAAATTGATGGGGGGCAGCTCGATGACCGAACCGGGCTGAACGATCCCACGCAAATTATCCACAATGGGACTCAGTTGGATGTTTTTATAGTTGCGCCTCCGTTGGAACATATAGGAGACGGTTACGTAGTCGAAATGGCCACCTCGCCAATTGGTGGCATGCAGTACCTGCATCTCGAGCACATAGTTCCTCGAGTCTATCGAGTGCTCTGTGCTGCCCCACTTGAAGATCGCCTCCACAAAGTAATAATTTCCAGGAAAATAATTGGAACTGAGATGCGGCACGCAATCTGGTGCCGCTGAGATGTTTACCATCACCGTCCTCCCATTGTTCGACAGCAAGATTGCCGGCGGCAGTTCATCATAGCAGAGCCAGTGCAGCAACCCCTTCCGATTAATATTGATAGCGGTGCTGCGCACAATGTCGATCGGCGATTGTTGTTGTTGCTGCTGTTGTTCTCTTGGCTTCCTTACAAAGTCCACAATATCAAAGATCGATTTTATGTGCAACAGCATTATCAGCGCTAAAATAATACTGTAACACGACATTAAATATTTCGATTCGTATACATTTTTCATAATTGCGGACACTAAAGAGAAGATTCCGTTCCACCCGAAGCTCAACCAATCAGCAAGCATGACAATCATCTAGAGATTTTACATGAGAAGTGAGAATGTATGTGATTTTTAACAATATATTTATGATATCAAATTGCACAATTATAATTTAAATCTTCGATTTATCATTTTAGGCATTTTTTTTAAATCCTGTTTTAAGTTTTGCGAGTACTTTTCCCTTTGTAAGTTAGTTCTACCCGTTGAGTATTTCAATTAATGCTATTTAGTACTGTTGACTACTAAATTGATCACAAGAGGGCTTGTAAGCAAACCATGGCATTTGTTTAAAGCAGTGCCTAATGTTTACTTTCAGTATTGATCATAAACAGAGATGCGTATTGAGTTGCAAAGGCTCATGAAATTAGCCAATTAGATATTGACTGATTGACTCATTTAAGTCAACTGAAAAGGAGCCTTAAGCGTTCTATTGATGGCACTGGAAAAACGATTGAATGAATGGGCCTGCAACTGAATGGGTACGTTCTGCAGCTAAATGCAAATCGAATGCACTTCACAGGCAACTGGACAATGAATAACCCGAAACCGATTTCAGCACAATGTTAGTATACAATTGAGGCTACCAGGCGATGGACGACGGACGCCCTTATTGACAGGCCAATGTTAACCATATATAACCATGAATTTGCAGAGAATTGGAGCTGTCATGAACAACATGCACTAACAAGGTACCACAATCTACACAGTGAGCAGAATGTGAAGCCGAACAACAACTTGCCTGGCAGCAACTTAAATAAATTCCAATGCATAAAGGAGCGAGTCCTGCAACTCCTGCTGCAACTCCAGCGTTGTTGGCAAACTTTTCGGACGCGTGCTTCATAAAATAGTCATAATGCATGTTTTTATGAAATATGAAGTGGGCAAAGTTGTTGCCAACCTGAGGCACCTATTTGGCCATAAGCTAAAGCCCAATTCTAAATATTGTGCAATGTAATTATACGTGCACAGGCCGTCTCTCATGTGGATGTACATATGTATTTGTAAGTGTGTGTGTGTGTGTGTGTGGGAGTCCATTAAAAGTTGTAGAATAGTTAGGCGCCCACAACCCGAAAACTGAAATTGCATTGGGATTTGCAGGCGAATATATAAAATAATCAGCAAACATCTCTTGCCAGAGCTTTGTCAGCTAAAAGCTGGCAAAACAAGAAGATTACACGGAATGATTAAAATGTTCCGAAACATTAAATAATTACACGAAATTCCACAAAACTAAACGCAACTAACTGAAGAATAAAAAGATGTGTACTGATTGAAAATTTCAATTGTTGCTGTTATCATATTATGTACACGCGATTTAAAGAACTGTTTATAATAATTATTAACAAAACTGTTCAAAGATTTTGGTAAACTTAAAAATTGTGTTTCCAAATTTAGGTGCACTATTAATCTATTTCTGCAACTGACTCATTTGAACGACTCTTAACAACAAACTGGCCGACTTCTTCTGCAAAGTCTGGCAACTGAAAGCGCTGTCCAGCTGCCAGCTATTAGCTCCTGCGTAGCGCTGCCATCCTTTTTCAAAAAGATCATCCGCTATTAGAAAATGCCCAAAAGTATGCAATAAGAAACGTAGCAAGATACAAAAATTAAATAGTTAATATCGAATATATTTTCAGATATTCTTACTCTTGATTACTGTAGACAAATAGTATTGAAAGGCATATTAAGAATAGTGCGCTGCGTCCTATGCATGTATTCAATTGTATTTACTATTTATATTTTAGTTTATTGTATTGTATATTTTAGCATGGCAACCTTATTTTTCTCCAATGGGAAATTTGCTGTCCCATAAGAGAGGGCGAGCGATGAGAGAAATTTACAAAAATGGACAAGAGAAATAAATTCAAAATAATTGAGAAATTCATTTATCACAATATGATTTTCGACTATTGTTTTTTAAATTGTGAGGGAAGCCTGGATTGGTATAAGCTCAGTGCACTCGGTTAACTGATGCAGAAAATGCAGACTGTTTGTTGCGGTTAATGCGATTCACACACACACACACACACACACACACACACACACACATACACATACACACACATACACATACACACACATCCACACACACACACACACACAACACACAGTAATTGGAAAAGCCGCAACCGTCGCTTGCAATTGACAAGCTTAAGGTTACGAGCTGAACAGGTTGTTGCCAGTCTGTGTGTGGGCTAATGGAGCAGCGTCAATATAACTGTTGTGCAGTAATTAAATTGAAACCACATTGTGTAAACAATAAGAACAAAAATTCGCACAACATGAGCTGTTTCAGTGTACACAGAGCACAAAGCTAAGTCGGCGGGTGCGAAACACAAACGTTGAACCAAAGTGGCCAGAGGCAGAGACAGAGGCAGGGACTGGGGCAGGGGCAGGGGCAGAAGGCTACAGGCTGGGTGTTGGGCGGAAAATGATTACCTGCCAGAGTAAGTTTATTTATGGCTGCGAAAGCAAGTCATAAACAGCAACACACACAGGCTGCAGGGACAGGAAATGGGCGGAGAGAGCGAGCGAGTGGGTGAGCAGTGGAGAGCCAGCGAGTGGCACAGGAATGGCCAAAAGGGGGACAGGTTGGGTGCTTTAGGTAGCTGCAGTCGCCTATTTTTGGGGAGCTACTGCCTCCGGCTGCGGCTGTTGCTGTTGCTGGCGATAACTTTTGACTTGCAAAGCACAAATATTGTTGAATGCGTGAGCTTACACACACTGTGTGTGTGTGTGTGTGTGTGTGTGTGTGTGTGTGTGTGTGCACTTTTGACATAGGCACAACTTAATATTGAATTTATTATATTTGTTGCCCAGTTTCTGTAGACTGTGTTGCCATCGAGGTCGGTGCGCAGGCAAAAACTGAAATACGCTTGCAAATTATTTTGCAAGTCACTGTATTTTTGGTTGTTGTTATTGCTTTTATCGCACCAAACTTCTATTAGCCAAGTTACCAGATGCGTGCAATAAAGTTCTGAATTATGTCAGCGGCAAGTTTCAACCATTATTCACCGGTTCGTTCCATGGACTCACCTTTGATTCCCGCAGCGCCAATTGCAAAACAGACCCAATACAGAAAGATTCAATTCATTTAAGCGATTACTTTGGCTACGAATGACTTTCAAATAAATGTCAATCAACTCGTTGATTTTCCAAGAGATTTTCCAACAATTCCACAAAAGATGGACAATATTGTTAATTTATTTCTTAACACCGACTTCCTCCCTTTAGTACGAAGTTTATTGTGAAAGCAGTTGACTGTGTTCTCTATGCGTATAAGTACAGGCTATCACAATCTCACAGACAATACTCGAAAGTACTAATTCTATATTTTAATATTCTTGTTCTGGCTTTTCTGCATCTTATCAGGTCAAAATCATTTTATTTTTTTGTCTACGAACTCATTTAAAATGTAATTTCGTTGCGTACGCATGACGACCGTCTGTCCACCCAAAAAAATATGTAAATTTATGTTTTATTTAAGTTCTAATTTTCTTGAAGCACTTTTGCCATTGCGTCGGATGCAACGAGAAATTGTCAAGCTTGTTTTTCAATTTGCTGTATTATATTTTGTATTTTAATCAAATTAGCCGTTCTATTTGAAATGTCTTGGCTGTGATAAGATCAAATTGGCAAGCAGAGAAGTTATTGTGCCTTTTATGCAGACTATGGACTAAGGACTGTGGACTGTGGACTGTGAGTGTGATTGTGACGACGGGATTGGCAAGTGCAATCTAGGTCCTGTTGAAGTCATCGTTCTCGACAGCCACTTAAAATGGCGTCAGTGAAATGTTTCAAATGGCTACAAATTGCTTGTTTGCCAGGAATTATGCAAAATGTCTGCAGATATTCCACAAAAAAAAAAAGAAAGAAAAACGACGAAAATGACAAGACGACCAAAGAAAATGGGTTTTATTTGACCAAGACGTCAAGGATTTCTGTTTGGACATGCCATCTACACCCCCCTAGGACACTATCAGTTTTCTAATCCAACGTTGCTTGCATTCGAAATTTGTGCTCTTAGCTCTTAGTTCTTAGCTCATCATATTTTGCCAACGTTTGCTATTTGCTTTGAGGAAATTGAAAAGAAATTATAATAACTTGTATTTGCAGTTGAGCTGTCCAAGCTCGAGATGGAGACAGTCAGTCAGGGAGGGAGGGAGTGAGAGAGTGAGGGGCCCCCAGGCGCAGCTGATGCTAAACTTTTTGCTAGTCTTGGCCAGAATGCGGGCCGAGAAGTCACTCCAATTGCAGCTGCTGCTGCAGTTGTTGTTGTTGTTGTTGTTGTTGTTATTGCTGTTATTGTTGTCAGGCTCCATCATGACCAAGTGCAGAAATGTATGCAAAGTACGTGGGGAAATGCTAAATTTATTCCCGCTACTTTAGCGAGTTGATAACTTGGTCGGGTCGCGCACTGTCTTCAGCTCTTTGGGCATGTTATTAAAAAACTTTTGCAGATAGAGACAGAGATTGAGAGTGAGGTATAGAGAGAGAGACAGGGAGAGAGAGAGAGAGAGAGAGAGATACAGAAGGAGAGTGAAAGAGAGAGTGCGTCGCATGTTTGCCCTTTTTTCGTGTATTTTTTGGTTCAAAACTTTCAAAATTAAAAGGATTAATTCGGCACAAGTACGAGTATATGATGCCAGCTACTTTGTATACAAATAGCAAGGTAAATTCTCTGTTTACAGCAAACTTTTTGATTGAAACTTTTGATGAAATACTTACTGATTTAAGCAGCAGCAGCCACCACAGGAAGTTCAGAAATTTCAGAAAGCCCATTGCCATAAAATCAATGGAAACTGTGTATTCTGAATATGAATAAAGTGAAATGCCTAAATACCCTACACTTTTAGAAGAAATAATTTGCTAAAAACCAGAAAATTGAGAGTGATGCAATACGATTTAAATACTTAATCTCATGTTTTGCTAACTAAAGTTGTGTGTTGCTGCTACTCAGGTTGTAGAGCAAATAAGCTAATTAAAATTTCGTGCAAAGCATTACAAAACACATTTATTGTCTGGTATAATATTAACATGAATTTCGAGTTGGAATCGCTTTTCCAACATTGATGGTAGTATTAACCTAGAGGTGTGCATAAATAGATTTAACTAGTTTGTCGTTATATTCTTATAAGATAACTAGCTAATGCCTTAAATTAAATTTGAGTAAAGTTTTTGACAGCTAGTTGTCCTAATGCACTTACCATATAAGTCGACAATCTTTGACTGAAATTTAATGGCTGAACAGGGATCAAAACGTTGTGAGTGACACATGTGAAGGAAGCCAAACTTGAGGCATTCCAATGCAACTTATGATCAGGCAATTGAACTGATGCCAGCTTGGTCCTAATGCGAATGTGATTGTGTGATAGTATTCGAGGGGAAAGAAGGGTAGCTTAGACTTGAGAGTAGAAGTGTATTTGAGGGCACATTGTGGATGGCAAACGCATCTAATTCAATTCCAAATAATGCCGTGGCATAACTTTGGACATGCTTTTGCATTGTGCCCGAAGAACTTTTGCACGTTGACGTTTTGTTTTCCTTTGTCAGCAGAAGTTCAAATTGAAAGGCAAAAACGTAGCAATTTTGAAGCAAGGACCTGAGAGAGTGAAAGTGGCTTATAGTTTTTAGTTTCTGGCAGTTGTTGAAAATGCATTTGTGTACAATACATTTGAACTGGCCAACAACTTTCTGCACATGCTGCACATATGTATGTGTATGTGCGCCAACAAGCTGTCAACACATTGGCATTGACTTTTGCTTACGTATACTGGCATTGTTATAATACCCTCTCCAGTTGCTGTTGCTCAGATAAGCGAGCGACAAAGTTCTGCGAAGAAGTTTCGACTGCTAAAGTTTCGACTACTATCTCAGCAGAGCACAAAAACTATTGAAAGTGTATCGATGAGGACTTTGTGTCTGGGCTATTTAAGCTATATGTATCAAATTACAGCCAATTACGAAAGTAGCCAAGGCGACAGCTTTAAATGAAATTCCATTTCAAAATATCCTCTCTTTCATTCCCCCCCTCTCTCTCTCTCTCTTCTCATACACTACGAACTTTAGTTTGGCGCAAAGTGAAAGGTAAATCAATGGAAAATAGCAAAAAAAAAGGAATACAAAATGAAATTTCTAAAGCTCTGCAACAATAAAGATGAAGCATTTTGCATAACAGCTGACCGTTATGCTAGGACACGGCCACGGCTGCAACACTTTACCCAATGGAAAGGGTTGCATGGAGGCATGTACGCAAAGAGTCCTGCTACGTGACTGACATTAAGTATTAGGATTGCCTCATCTGCATCTATCGTTCAAGTTGCTGTTGCCATTACACTTGGTAACTAGAGTTGTTGCTGTTGTTCCCACTTCAGCACTTTTATTACTTGTGAAAAATCATTCAAAATGTCCTTGCTGCCATAGCTGCTGCCATAAAGCTTACGGTGTGAGGCCTTAGCGCAAAAACAACTCCCTCTTACCTTATGCTAATGGATCCTCGTACACCTTTCAACCGTTGCACTTCACGTTTAAGTGGATTTCTCATACAGTTATACGTCAATACGTTAATTGAGAGCACTCAATGTTGCAGGCACTGAGGCACTGAGGCATGAAGCAAACCAATGTGCTCAACTTTAATGCAGCTGAGGATTGTAGAGCTTATGATAAATAAATAAATAAAGTAAATAAATTACAAAACAGGCTTATTTATTATTATTTGTTTAGTTTTGTTAAAGAACCCATTTGAATTTCAATACATATTGATGACAATTTTTAATAAAACAGAAGGCAAGGAAGTTTTGTCAGCTTTAATTCATTCAGCTCCAGAACCCACAATCGATAGACTTTTAAACATACAACGAAATTTATTGGTATACAGATGGACTCCAGGGTATACAAGGGTATTGCATCTTCGGATTTGCGTCCATTACAATAGCCAATTGAAGTGTAATAATGCCCTAGATTTAAATACTTCATGACAATTATGTGTCTGAGTCGTGATTATAAATCGGTACATGACTAATAATCCGTTCAAATGAGCAATTAACAATTAATTAGAACGCCTCAGTGCCAAGTGCTTGGGTACACACAGTCACACACACATCCACACCCTACTGCGCACACACATGTACATAATTAATGCCTCAGTGGAGAGAGAGAGACAAAGCAAACCTGGTTCTAGTTGCTTTGGATACTGAACTGCCACAAACCAATTACATATTTGATTTCAAGATTTCGCTCAACTTAACACCCCAAGGAAACTACTCCACAGTTTAATGAAGAGCACTCACACACAGAAAAGAAAGAGAGAGAGAGAGAGAGAGAGAGACAGAGAGAGAGAGAGAGGGGCATGTGGAGGTGGTAAACTGGGATACAAGTGTTTTTACAAATCCCCGAGGGCATTTGAAAAGCATTTAATTTAAATGTTCTTCATATGTGTTAAAGTTAGCATTGCCGGAAATGGCAATGGGCACAAATTTTAATTACAAAATTCGCACATGTGTGCGTTATGCGACCAGTTAACTGGAATGGGGAGAATGCCAAACAGGGAGCTGAGAGTGGAATGATAATTGGAACTTTCAACGTCAAACTGCGAACATTGCAGAAATCGCAATCACACGCAAAAGTTGCTGCAAGCCTAGTCCTAAGTCTGTTCCTAATAAAATATACAAACACACACATACACACACACACACACACACGCACAGATAGTCTCACTTTGGTGTTGCACAGTGGGGCATAATATATTTTCCACTGATACATTTCATGTGTACATATATATTTTGTAATCATCAGATTCTATAAATAGTATATGATTGGATTGTTGTTAATAGTTATCACTATTTAATATTTATATTGTAACTACTATTTTCATTATTATCTTAATTGTTAACTTTTGTTTTGACTATTTAAATATTAATCATAATTAAAATTATAATTATTTCTATATTTACTTAAGCGCTATATTATTGAATTGTTGTTAATCGTTATGGTTTATTATTAATATTTGTATTATTATTATTATTATTATATAATTAATTTTTTATTGAAATTATAACTTTTTCTCAATAGTAATAATAATAATATTAATATTATAAAATGGGGTTTATATTTATTCAGAGCTTAGTATTTAATACAGAATATATGTCCGCTTCATGCGACTTATACTACGCGATTCAAGCGACC